CATTATTCATTCTACAATCAATAGTGGAAGGAAGAGAGGTTGCAGTGACCAATGAGGTTATGAACACCAGGCCTTTATAGTCCTGGAAAGGGGCACAGGAGGTCAAGAACCTTTTCTCTGATATTAATTATGAAGGGAAGGGAGTTGGTGAGGGAGAGGGGAAGGACTAGAAGCATGAGCCTAAGGAAGGGAGGAGGGGAGATAATTTTATCTGGTTTTTAATGAAGCTACGAATCATTACTTGGAATGCTCGTGGTCTCAACGACCCGAATAAGAGGAGGGTGGTAAAGGTAGCTTTAAGGAAGTGGGGGGCCCAGGTTGTTTGTTTGCAAGAAACCAAGTTGGCATCCATTTCTGACGGGGTGGTTAGGAGTTTGTGGGGAGGAAGGTTTGTGGAATGGGAGGCCTTGAGATTTTCTGTGTCCTGTGAGTTCAAAATGGAGGAGGACAATTTTAGATGGGTTTTTTCTGGAGTCTATAGACTGGTTGTTGATAATGATTGACCTATTTTCTGGGAGGAGCTTTGCCATGTTCAAGGATTGTGGTCTTTCCTATGGTGTTTGGGTGGGGATTTCAATTCTGTCAGATCCTCGGTTGAGAGGTCTACAAGGGGAAGGAGGTCTTCAGAGATGGATCAGTTTTTTGACTTCATTGATGAGCTTTTTCTCGTTGATTTACCAATGAAATGTGCAACTTATACCTAGTCAAATGGTAGGGATCCAATCACTCTTTCAAGATTGGATCGATTCTTGATTTCTAGAGAGTGGGAAGAGAAATTCCCGGATATTGTTCAGGCGGTTTTAGTAAGGGTTGCCTCTAATCATGTTCCTTTGGTTTTGGATTGCGGGGGTTTGTCCTCTTGAAGATCCACGTTCCGATTTGAGAATATGTGGTTGAGAGCGGAGGACTTCCAAGGGAATGTTCAATCTTGGTGGGAGGGAGCAATAGTTACAGGTTCGCCTAGCTTCACTTTAACAAAGAAATTAAGAGCTCTCAAATTCAATCTTAAAAAGTGGAATAAGGATGTTTTTGGGAATCTTGAATGGTGTAAGAATAGAGTCATTGCTGAATTTTCCGAGATTGATCGTCTTGAGGAGGCAGGCAGGGATGTGGAGTCTCTACGTACTAGGAGAGCTTTATGTAAGGCAATTCTTGCTGAGATTGCTAGTATGAAGGAGATTTCATGGCGACAAAAATCCCGGGCTCTTTGGCTAAAAGAGGGTGATCGTAACACAAAATTTTTTCACAGACTAGCGAGTGCTCACATGAGTAATCACATAAGCCGAATTTGGGTGGAAGGTGTGGAGTTGTGGAGGGAGGAAGAGGTGCGTAATGGGATCGTTTCTTTTTATCAGAAGCTTTACACCGAGCCGTTAACTTAGAGACCCAAACTTGACGGTCTCCATTTCGAGGCTATTTCTGAGTTGGATTGAGATGGGCTTGAGATTCCTTTCACTGAAGACAAAGTTCTAAAGGCTTTATCTAGTTGTAATGGGGACAAAGCTCCAGGGCCTGATGGGTTTACTATGTGTTTTCTAATGGAAAGTTGGGCGGTAGTGAGAAACGAGGTGATGGATACATTTCAGGAATTTCATTCTATTGGCGTGTTTGAAAAGTGGCTTAATGCCTCATTCATTGCCCTTATCCCTAAGAAGGGAGGTGCTTCTGACATTTAGGATTTTAGACCAATCAGTTTAGTGGGTTGTATTTACAAACTAATGGCTAAAGTGCTTACTCTAAGGATGAGGGAAGTAATGGATGGGATTATTTCGGATTCTCAGAATGCTTTTGTCGGAGGACGGCAAATCCTAGATTCAGTTCTTATTGCAGGCGAATGTGTGGATTCCAGGTTGCGAAGTGGTGTTATTGGAGTTTTATGCAAACTTGACATTGAGAAAGCGTATGATCATGTGAATTGGAATTTCCTACTTTATCTATTTCAGAGAATGGGGTTTGGGAATAAATGGAGGAATTGGATTGAGACATGTCTTTTGTCTGTCAAGTTCTCAGTTCTTGTGAACGGATCTCCCGCTGGTTTTTTTGGGTGTACTCGGGTTTTAAGACAAGGAGATCCGTTGTCGTCTTTCCTTTTCCTAATTGTTATGGAGGGCTTAGGCAGACTTATGTGAAGGGCAAATGATCTTGGTTTTATTAAGGGCTTTAGGGTGGGAAGAGATTTAGTCTATCAAGTGAAGATTTCTCATTTACTTTTTGCGGACGATACCCTGGTTTTCAGTGATGCTGATGTGTCTCAACTTAGATATTTGAGGTGCATCCTGGCTTGTTTTCAGGCGGTTTCCGAGCTGAAGGTCAACGTGGCTAAGAGCGTGCTTGTCCTGGTAGGCAATGTTCATGATATTTCTTCTTTAACTGCAGTCCTTGGTTGTAGGGTGAGTTCTTTCCCCATCCCTTATTTGAGTTTGCCCCTCGGGGTTTCTTCCAGGAGAGTGGGGAGTTGGGATCCTGTGATTGACAAGTATGCGAAGAGACTAGCAGGATGAAAGAAGCAATACTTGTCTAAGGGGGGTAAAGTTACTCTTATAAAGAGCACTTCATCGAGCCTACCCACATATTTTTTATGTATGTTCCAAATTATATGCTCCGTTGCTGATAGGATTGAAAAAATCCAATGGGATTTCCTGTGGGGTGGAAGGGGAGAAGACTTTAAGTATCACCTTGTCAGATGGGAGCAAGTTTGCAAGCCTATGAAGTTGGGTGATCTTGGTATTAGAAGATTGATTCCTTTTAACTAAGCTCTCCTGTGTAAATGGATGTGGAGATACGGGAGGGAAAGACATCGTCCTTGGCGAAGGCTAGTCTCATGTCGGTTTAGGGAAGAGATTGGAGGTTGGTCTACTCGCCAGGTTACTCTTGTGGGAGGAGTCGGGGTGTGGAAATCCATTCGGAAGGGATGGGATGTCTTCTCTTCTCATATCAGATTCAAAGTTCGTGACGGTAGATGTGTCCGCTTTTAGGAAGATCTTTGGTGTGGTGATCAGCTATTATCTCGTACATTTCCCAAACTATACGGTATTGCAATTGGTAGACACGCTTACGTAGTTGATTGTTATCGGCTTGATAGTAATGGGATTACATGGGACGTGCACTTTCGGCATTCCTTTCAAGATTGGGAGATGGACGAGGTATGTGTTCTTTTGAATCAGTTGTATAGGCAGGAAGGAGTTGGCAGTGGTAGTGACGATCTAACATGGATTCCATCTTCCCATGGTCGTTTTGAAGTGCGATCTTTGTTCTTATGTCTATCTAATTTTGATAGCATCGACTTTCCGTGGAAGACCATTTGGCGGTCTATGGCTCCAACTAGGGTGGCATTCTTTGTATGGACCGCTGCTTCGGGTAAGATACTGACGATTGATAATTTGAGGAAAAGGGGGAATTGTTTTGGTAATTGGTGTTGTCTATGTAAGTAAGATGGTGAGTCAGTTGATCATATCCTCATGCATTGCCCCGTGGCGCACGACTGTTGGAATCTTATTCTTGGGTTGTTTGGCATGCATTGAGTAATGCCACGTTCTTCTAAGGATTTGATTCATGCTTGGAGAGGATGTCGTGTGAGAAGAGGCGTACGCGATTACTAGAGAATTGTCCCACATTGCGTTTGGCGGTGCATTTGGAAGAAGAGAAATAGCAGAATGTTTGAAGGGAATGAGTCATCTATGGCGACGCTGAAACTATATATTATTTGCTCTCTTTTCAATTATGTGAAGAGGAGTTCTTGTTCCTCTTCCGATGATTTAATCATTTTTTTGGATTCTTTGGGGCCTTAGCCCCCGGTTCCACTTTTGTATAAGGGACACGTTCCCCTCTTGAACGCCTTTTTATATATTTCTTACTTATAAAATAAAAAATAAAAAATAAAAAACTAATATAATATAATTTCCAGCATAAAATATTATTTTTCAGCAACTAATAAATAATTTCTAGCATGAATTTATAATTTTCAGCACTTAAACATCAACATGCGTACATTTATATATGTCTACACTAGAATTTACAACATAGGAGCATACCAGTATACAATTCACTTGAAATTAACTTACTAATCATGCTAGAATTCAAGTAAGAAAGCTAATACACCAATTACATCTCAATTAACCTAAATTATAAACATGATAATAAACCCACCAGCATGGTATACTATCTATATACCATGCTAGGAGAGGGAACAACATGCAATCACTTACAAAACCAAGGAAACCTTATTATTTAGACACCCCTGCCTCCAATTGAATACCAGCACTAATTTCACAAGAGATGAAAGTGTTCCACTTTGAAATTAAAAACCATAGGAAGAAATCCCTTGAGAAGGTCTACCACTTTCCCAACTATCACTTTGTCCAATCCAAATGCAAATAGATGAAATTGTGGCTTGAAATTATGGATCCATGGAAGGAAAATGAAAAAGAAAATGAAGAGAAGGAGGGGGTGGTGTGGCCGGCTGCAATGAAGGGAAGGAGATTGTCTTCCTTCTCTCCTACTCTCCCCCTCTTCTATAGTCCATGGGTTAGTGCGGAAAGCGTCCCACCACCCACTAAAATCATAGAAATGTCCAACATGTCCAATAGACTAATACACTAAGTACACACACATAAAATAAGCTACAAGAAATTTAGCAAGTGTCCACAATGCAATGTAAAAGAAGATAAGAGATGTTGGGAAAATTCCCAAACACGAATTGCCCACACATAGAAACACAGTGCACGAAAAACGAGAAAAGCAGCAAAAAAGAACTCGGACCTCACAATATACAAGTAAATGCTTGGCAGTCAATGGAACTAGAAGAAGAGGACTAAACGTGATCCAAAATGACCAGGCAAATAATGTAGGCTTGACATAGTTAAAAAAATTCTGTGGCTGGATTTTTTTTTTGGCAATTTGAGTAGTTGAAATAGTTTATGAGATATACCAAATCGGAGGATGTCATGGAAAAAGATATTTAGCTACTCATCTTAATCAAATATCATAAACTTCCTTTGTAGGTACGCTTGGATGTCGCCACAATATTGGGACTTTTGGCATACTTCATAAACTACAAATTTGAGGACATCTTGTCATCCCCGTAAGTGTGTTCTCTATTTGAACATAATTGCTTGTGGATATTTTTGCAGCATGACCTGTCCCTGAATATTATGCTGTATGGTATGAAGTTTTCATATCCCATTATATCTTGGCCATGGATTTTTTATGATTATTAAATTAAGTTTAAGAAACATTATTGTTTTTGGTTCTCACTTAGGAAGCCTAGTACCATGGCCATTTGAAGGCAATACTCCAAATGAACTTAGTTATTCATTAACAACTCCGTCATGTTTGTTCATTTAGCCAGAATAGCTGGCTCTAACTTTAGAGTTCATTTACTAAATGAGTCAAGCTGGAGCAAGACTTAGCTCAGCTTGATTAGCCACTAAAGAGTACTTGTCCCAAGATGCCCCTAACTTTTAACTTCTTCAAATATGTTAAATATTATTATTATTATTATTATTATCATCATCATCATCATCTTTTTGTATGTGTATGTATACTGAAAGTAGGAACTACAGCCCAGGGAAAATATGCTTGTAAGAATCATTTCCACCTTACCACTCTCGTAGTTTTGAGAAACAGATTGACTTACTCTGGAAATCTTTTTGAAACTATCAAAAGGAAGAGATAGAAAGTGTCACGACCTGTCTTGCTCTATAGATATTGTCCGCTTTGCACACACTCCCTGCTCACAGTGCCAACAATCTCTCCCCGCTAGGCATTGTGGGATGTCACAATAACCCCTTGTTGAGACCCAACATCCTTGCCTTCCTGACCCTCATGGGTTTGTGCACGCTCCCCCCATTTTCGGCTAGGGATTGGCTTTCATACCATTTGTCATGACTCGCCCCGCTGTTTAGATATTGTTTTCTTTGCACAATCTTCGTGCTCACGGTTTTCAAAGCGCGTCTACACAGTTAATAGATGTCCGCATATATAAGTGCCAACGACCTCTCCCTCTCATCACAGAAAGGAAGAGAGAGGATGACTGGAGGGGAAGAGGGCCAAGGAGCTGAACATGATGGATCTACCTTCATTGTCTCTTTGGTGCTGCCATGCCACCGGCTGTCATTGTAGCCTTTTTTTATTTAAGAGAGAGAGAGAGAGAGAGAGAGAGAGAGAGAGAGAACATGTAAACAGCAAACAGAATTGGCACCCACGCTGAGCTTATTATGTCAGGTGAACCGAACCTTTCAAAAGGATGAAACATGAAGGAATTGTCTACTATTCTCTTACAGCATCTGTTGTTATTAAATAAACTTGATATTCTCCTTGTTGCTCTTCGTTGGTGCCACCTATCACTACTGGAGTCTGGAACTTACTTATGGCTATTTCTCCTTTTCTTTCCTTGGCTTATTTTGACTGATAGTAGCACCCGTAGTTGATGTTCCATTTCATTTAAGAAAATGTTGATTGCATAATTCAAAGTTAAATTCAGGTCAGCGATATTTCTAGATGTGATTCCGATTAGTGCTCTTATAATATATATGACCCGCGTGGCTTTGGGTTACAAACAGACATGGGATAGATATCAAGTGAGTTCACCAAGTTTGCTTTACATTTTTTGCAGATATCTTGATTTAGAATGTAAGCACGTATCTTTAATACTCAGTCACCTTTTTAAGGTTTATTGTGTAATTTCTGATAAGACATCCATTATTATAGCTTCTAGTCAACAGGATACTTTATGAGAAAACTTTAGCAAGTGGCTTTGGCTCGGTTCACTTTCTTATGGATGCTTCTGAACAGCAGCAAGTGAGAAACTCTTCTATTTTATGTGTTTCTCTCTTCCAGACAAATAAAGGTGCTTAAAAAACATCAAATAAAAAAGAAAGGGAGCAACTAATAGGATGTCAATTGCCTATATGCTGCTTTTGATATGGGGGGAACGTGCACAAGCCCAGGGAAAATATGCTTGTAAGAATCATTTCCACCTTACCACTCTCAAAGTTTTGAGAAATGGATTTACTTACTCTGGAAATCTTTTTGAAATTATCTAAAGGAAGAGATAGAAAGTGTCACGACCCGTCTTGCTCTGTAGATATTGTCCGCTTTGCACACACTCCCTGCTCACAGTGCCAACAATCTCTCCCCGCTAGGCAATGTGGGATGTCACAATCACCCCCTCTTGAGACCCAACATCCTCGCTTTCCTGACCCTCAAGGGCTTGTGCACGCTCCCCCCATTTTCGGCTGGGGATTGGCTCTCATACCATTTGTCATGATTCGCCCCGCTATGTAGATATTGTTTTCTTTGTACAATCTCCGTGGTCACGATTTTCAAAACGCGTCTACACAGTTAGTAGGTGTCCGCATATATAAGTGCCAACAACCTCTCCCTCTCATCATAGAAAAGAAGAGAGAGGATGACTGGAGGGGAAGAGGGCCAAGGAGCTGAACACGATGGATCTACCTTCATTGTCTCTTTGGTGATGCCATGCCTGATGCCACCGGTTGTCATTGTAGCCTTTTTTTATTTTTTATTTTTGATAAGTAATAATATATTAAAAAAGGCGTTCAATAGGGGAACGCGTCCCGTAGACATAAAAGAAACCGGTGTATAAGGCCCCAAAGAATCCAAAAAAGAAATTAAATCAACAGAAGAGGAACACGAACTTTTGTTCACATAACAAAAAAAGAGAACGAATAATAAAATGTTTCAGTGTCGCTGTAGACGACTCTTTCCAGATGCACCACCAAATACAATGTGGTACAGATCTCCAATAAGCACGAATACTCCTACTCACACGACAACCTCTCCAAGCATGAATCAGCTCCTTAGTAAACAGCGAAAGAACATGTAAACAGCGAACAGAATTGGCACCCACGCCGAGCTTATTATGTCAGGTGAACCTTTCAAAAGGATGAAACATGAAGGAATTGTCTACTATTCTCTTACAGCGTCTGTTGTTATTAAATAATATTGATATTCTGCTTGTTGCTCTTCTTTGGTGCCACCTATCACTACTGGAGTCTGGAACGAACTTATGGCTATTTCTCCTTTTCTTTCCTTGGCTTATTTTGACTAATAGTAGCACCCGTAGTTGATGTTCCATTTCATTTAAGAAAATGTTGATTGCATAATTCAACTTTAAATTCAGGTCAGCGATATTTCTAGATGTGATTCCGATTAGTGCTCTTATAATATATATGACCCGCGTGGCTTTGGGTTACAAACAGACATGGGATAGATATCAAGTGAGTTCACCAAGTTTGCTTTACATTTTTTGCGGATATCTTGATTTAGAATGTAAGCACGTATCTTTAATACTCAGTCACCTTTTTAAAGTTTATTATATAATTTCTGATAAGAGATCCATTATTATAGCTTCTAGTCAACAGGATACTTTATGAGAAAACCTTAGCAAGTGGCTTTGGCTCGGTTCACTTTCTTCTGGATGCTTCTGAACAGCAGCAAGTGAGAAACTCTTCTATTTTATGTGTTTCTCTCTGCCAGACAAATAAAGGTCCTTTAAAAATATCAAATAAAAAAGAAAGGGAGCAACTAATAGGATTTCAATTGCCCATATGCTGCTTTTGATATGGGTTACAAAATCTTCTGATTTTAGTTATTTATTTATTCATTAAGTTTTTGTCTGATTACTTTTCCTTTTTCACTACATGCAGTACAAGGAAGCCATATTGGCTTATGCAGTCATGCTCAAAGCAGAGACTAGCCAGGTTTGCCCTTCTGAGTTATAGATGTTTTTACATTGGTAAAATTTACACAATGGAAATACTGCATGGGTTTTTTTTTTCTTTATGATCATTATATATGGAAATTACTTGTTTGATGTATGCATCAGAGGTTTCATGTGCTATGTGCTTCTAGCTGAACATGTATACAAATTTTTTCATGTAATTGTTACCTTTTTCCAAGTCTTATTTTTGTTAGAACATTTATGTATATACTGGGAAAGTTGTAATTCTGTATAGTTTATAGCCAATTGTGTAATTAGGCCTTTTATTATGTTTTTATATAAACCCTCTTTATTTTAGGGTTAAGTAAGTAATAAGAAAATAGCTGCCTCCATTGTTGCTCTCTCTCTCTCTCTTGCATAGTGAATCTCTCTACATGGTATCAGAGCAACGATCCAATCGTTGTTGTTGCCACCGAAGTGCTAGGGTGTGTACTAGCTTCGGAAGAACCTAACTTCGTTGTGGTCATCATTGTGTGATTTGCTTGGAGAGTTGCAGAGGTCCCATCTGCGAAATTGCTTAGAGAGTTACAGAGGTTTTGACATTAAACAAGCAAACACCATTTGGTACTAACTAGGACCAACAATTTCCCTCTTTTGCCTTTAATGACAAAAACCTCAAAATGAAAAGTGAAGATTCAGCAACACAAGTATATGAATACCACAGTCACAGACAATTAAATATGAGCACCAAAACCTTATTATAGGTTAAAAACTATCCTTATTTCAGTCATTTTCTCCCCCTTTTTGACATTGAAGGTCAAAAGGTGATAAGGACCAACAATTATAAGCTCAAGAGGGTGGTGGAACAACCTTGAGAAGGTCTCTAAAGGCTATAAATCGCTGAGGAAGAAGAGGTTTGGTCATAATATCTACAAGTTGATCTTCAGTGGGCAAATAAGTGATATCAATCAGACCTTTTTTAACTTTGGCTCTGAGAAAATGATACCTGATGTCAATGTGCTTGCTCTTCCAATGAAGAGTTGGATTCTTACCAATAGCAATGGCACTTTGGTTGTCACAATACAACTTAGGAGGACCTGATAGCAATGGCACTTTGGTCTGGAAGTGTTGTCCTCATCCAGAGTAGTTGAGAACCAGCTTGAGAAGCAACAATATACTCAGCTTCAAAGGTTGAAAGGGACACTGTATCTTGCTTTTTGCTTAGCCAAGACACTATATTGGAGCCAAGGAGATAACAGCAGCCTGAATTACTCTTTCTGTCAGGCTAAGAACCACCCCAATCAGCATCTAAATAGGCTTCAATAGGCAATGTGGGAGAAACTAAGTAGTGAAGGCCATATGAAAGGGTTCCTTTGATATATCTGAGGATTCTCTTGGCAGCTTGAAGGTGACAAGCTCTTGGTTTGCTTTGAAACCTTGCAACTAAGCCCACATAATACATAATATCAGTCCTAGAAGCTGTGAAATACAACAAACTCCCAATGATAGACCTGTAAAGGGTTGAAGGGACAACTTCTGTTGTACACTCAAGGGTGAGTTTGGTATTAGGGCACAAAGGTGTAGAAATAACCTTACTTTCAACCATGTGGAATTTCTTGGCCATACTTCTCTTTAGAAATGAGGATTCCTGTTGATGTTTGATGAATTTGAAGCCCTAAGAAGTATCCTAAAAGAGACATTTCAAACCTTGTCTTCATGAGATTGGCAAATTCTTAGGTTAATGAAGTGTCTGAGCCATAGAACATGATATCATCAACATAAATTTGAAGAATAAGGAATTGATCTTGATGAGTTCTGACATATAAAGTGTTGACCTTAAGGATTTCATCCAAGGACAATCTAGATGTTTTGATGATAAAAAACCATTAATGGTGTTTAAGGACTAATGTTTACATTGAGTGTTATAGATTATTTACATTCAAAGAATGACCTCAATGAAGCAATAAAGATCATTCCAAGTATTCCATTAGTCAAGATCACATCAAGGAAAGCAATGGATACAAAGAAGACTTGAAGTTGCAAGGAACAAAATGCAAAGTCCATCCAAGATAACTTGGACATCAATGATCAAGAAAGCAACTCAAAGAAAGAAAGAAAGAAAGCAAGGAAGCAAGAATACCTCGAAACATATACGATTATGGACGAAGCATGAAGAAAGGGGTTGATGAAATGGTGAGTGTTTAGGATTCAATGTCGAAAGTATTTATGAATCCATTTGAAGCTCATCTCAATAGGATCATGCATATCATTATTATCATTCATGAGTTCCTATATCCATTAGCAATAGACTATGCACTTCTTTCACATATATAATTAACGTATGGAGTCTTTGCTAAAGAATGAGTTAGTTCAAGCTTGCATAAGCTTTGAAAGAACTCAACACTTGAGCTAAAATGCTAGGACCATGCACATTAACTACATAATTCACTTTGGTCCCTAGAAAGTAAAGGTTAAGGCTTAGAACTTGTTTATTCATCTATAAAGCTTTTGAGCTTCACTTATATTCATCAGTACTCTAGTTGTGAGCTGAAATTTGTACATCTATCTTTAAGAAATATCTCTTGTACTTGTTACTATCTAGTGTAAGGATTGGTTTAACCCACCGGGTTGGTTTGACCTACCGGGTTGGTGTGACCCAAAAGGAAGACTAGGAGAAGGTTGTTCTCTTAGCAAGGAAAAGAAGTAAGGTCTTGCTTCATGTAAAGGTTTGCTCTCCACCCATAAGGAGAAGCTATAACGGATTGGGAAGTCTCAAGAGGAGTCTTGAGCCGAGGAATAGGAGTTTCTGAACCTTGTTAAAATCACCTAGTCATTGTTTGCAATTTCTCTTCCCTTATCTCCTTTACAATTGTGCTATTAATTGTTTACTTTCAAATCTTAATTATTGCATAATTGCTTAAGTTGTTGATTAGAAATTGTAAATCAATAAATTACGAAAATTGGCCATTGACTCTATTAACAACCCCCCCCCCCCCCCCCCCCCCCTAGAATCAATTCTTGGGTAACATAAAGTGCTATCCACCTTGCCTAGGGGCTTATTTAAGACCATACAAGGCCTTACTTAGTTTGAACACATGAGAGGAGAGCTGTGGATTTGATCATGCTATTCCTTCATAGCTACTATCCAATCTTTATCATTCTTGGCTTCAGAGTAGGATTTAGGTTCAATAAAGGACATCATTGCAAAATGATTGTATTCTTCAGCATCTTCAGCCTCCAACTCACTCAGCTTCTTCTTAGCCCATATTTGAACTCCAGTTTTTGGTGAGCCAATGATGTTTTCAACTTGAACTTGCTTCATTAAAGTTGGATAAGTGGTTTCTTTCTGAATAACAGACTCTAAAAGTGAGGAACTAGCTTCACTTGATCCTGGTATAGAACAAGCTTCTTCAGAGGTATTAGCTTGAGGATTTTCATTAACCTCACATGAATTAACTCAACCACCTTTGAGGATCTTAGATTATAGCACCTGTAAGCCTTGCTTTTGGTTGAATATCCCAAGAAGATACCTTCATCTGCCTTTGAATCAAACTTTCCAAGGCTGTCAATGTGATTTGGAATGTAACACTTTCTGCCAAATACTTTTAAGTAATGGACTGTTGCAGGTCTTCCATACCAAAGTTCAAAAGGAGTTTTGGTTGAATTAGGTCTAAGAAGAACCTTATTGATAATGTAGACAGATGTATTTACAGCTTATGCCCAAAAACCTCTTATAAGTCCCTTTTTAAGTAGCATTGTTCTCCCCATTTCTTGAATTGTTCTATTCTTTCTTTCTTTCCACAACACCATTTTGTTGAGGTGTAGCCACAATTGAGAATTCCTTCTTGATACCATTGACATCACAATAGCTTTCAAACTCCCTCATAGTGAACTCAGTGCCAAATTCTGACCTATGTCTCTTTACAATGCATCCTCTTTCATTTTCAACAAGATTCACAAACTTGATGAAGTGTGTAATAGCCTCATATTTCTCTTTCAAGAATTAAATCCATAACATTCTACTGAAATCATTAATGAGAATCATGAAATACTTGCTTCCACCAATACTTTTAGTTCTGGTAGGGCCACAAAAATCCATATGAATCAAATCAAGTGGTATTGAGGTGTTGATTTATTTGGAGGGGAATGAAACCATGGTTTGCTTCCGTTGTTGGCAGGCTCTGCAGGTGTGATCTTCCTTGAATTTCAGTTCAGGTAAGCCTTTTACAACTTTTAACTTCAAAATCTTTGAGCTGTTTCTTAAATGAACATGCCCTAATCTCTTGTGGCACAGAATAGCTTCATCAAAGGTTATCAAGTTGCATTTGTACAGACATTTCCAGAGGATCTTAGGGCTAAGAAAAGAACTTTTTCTGAATTAAGGTCAACCATATTGCACTTATCCTTATCAAAGCACACCTTCTTTCCACTGTCACATAATTGACTCACACCAAGTAGCTTGTGTTCGAGTCCTTCAACAAATAAAAGTTCAGTGATCCCATGTAGTTCTTTAGACTTGCTCACAGTGTCAATGCCTACAATCTTAGCCTTCTGATTTTCTCTAAAGACTACATTACTGTGACGGCCCTGGTTTTCAAGCCCCATTGCGTCCTGTGATGAACCGAAGTTTAACCCGATAACGAATCCGAATGCGGAAGCGAAAACAGAAAACCAGTCTCCGGAGATGCAATGCATCTCTAAGACGTCAAAGTGACCTTCCATGAGGCCACGGATCTCAACGAGAACAAAACGGAAGAAAAAGATCGGAAAAATACCAAATAAGCCCTCAAGGGCAAATGGTCTTTTTTCATAGAAACGTCTCTAAAAATGTACATTATCCCTAAGACACAATCATGACTTCTCATGAAGCCACGGAAACAAATGGGAAACAAGCGGAAGCGACAATTTAAAAACGGACAAGTTTATCCCCAAGGGCAAAATGGTAATTTTCAGCAAGATTTGGGTGCCACCGAGCACAACATTAGATAGACAACGAAAAATTAATCAAGTTAGACTCAAAAATCACTTGATTCGGAGTCC